GCCTGCAGTCCAGGTCCCAAAGTTAAGGTTTAGTTTGCTTCCTGCTGATGCTTCTTTCAGCCAAGTCAGGCCTTGGGCTGAGGAAAAGGACTTATCCTTCCTCCTTTGAGCTGTGAACTGTCCTTATCTTCTGTTGCCCCAGCCCAGAAACTGGTTCTGAACAGCAGCTGAGCATAAATGTGGAGGGGGGGGGGTAGAGGAAGGGCCTAGAACAAGTGTTTTAATCTCTCCAAACTTTGGATTTCTTATCTGTGAAATGGGACTAACTCTGCTTTGTAAGTTGGTCTTGAAGTTGTGTTTAAAGCCCTCACACAGTGCCTGACACACAGAAGGCACTCAGAGAGCAGCTTGTTTTACCTCCAACTCCAGTACTTTCTACCTGTCCTCTCTATTTGCTGCTTTGTCTCCCCTTGGCCAGGATCCTGACCTTTGCTTGTTTTTCTGGTATACACCCAGTGGCTATCTCAGGCCAATGTGTGATGTCAAACTCTAAACCTAGGGGTCTTGGCAGAGGTGACCTTGAACTTGGCTGAGAGATGAGAAGCAAGGGTACCAGACACACTGTTCTTTTGGCCCTGTGGGAGTGTCTTGTCATCCTGCCTTGCTCCCAATCACAGGAAGCAATTCCTGATCGCCCCAGAGCTGATTCCCTAGCATCCCCTCTAACATTTGGGTTGTAGCCACAAAAGGCTGCCAGGGCCAAGATTTGGGTGACAGCCAGGCTAGAGAGCCTGTCAGGAAAATCCACAGATGTACCCCAGAGGGTATGAGGTCCTATGCTTCCCAGGTAGGCACATCTCTTGACTGTGGTGCTCTGTGCCTGGTGGCCTCTGATATTCCATCCAACATGGCAGCCCTGTCCAGCCATTTCCCTGGCCTGCTTCTCTGCAAAGCCACAAGGCAGTTCCAGCCAAGTCAAAGCCACTGAGATCTCCACTGGAGGGTCAAGCTGGGAAGGGTATGTGCAGATGAGTGTGCCAAAGTCCAGAGAAGGACTGGACCAACGAGCTTGGAATGGCAGGGCCAACTCCATCTCCCAAATGACCAGAGATGGCAACCATTGGAACAAGGCCCGCTGAGATCTTGATGAGTGAATTTGATCTTCTAAGTGATGGACAGAGATGAGTACTATTGTTCCTCAGCATCCTTGGGGGATTGGTTCTAAGACCCCTATGAGTATGAATATCTATGGATGCATACGTATCCTATGTAATCCATATGGTTCTCTGGCACTCTGAATCATCTCTAGATTAATGTGGTGCTTGATGCAATATAGTTATTGCATGTAATAACTATGTAGATAGTTATTAGACTGTATTGTTTAGTAAATAATAGCAAGAAAGAGTATACATGTTCAGTATAGACAACTTTGTTCTATAGATTTTCAGCACATCATTGGTTGAGCCCATGGATGCAGGGCTGACTGATGCAGAGAGCCTGGGCTCTAGCTGATGCCTGCCCTGTGATTCATCTCTTCTCTGTAGACAAGCATTGGGTTTAACATGGGTACTTGTGGTACACAAAAAAGGCTAGGAACCACTCTTGGTGTACCCTCAAAGTGATACTGAAAAATCTCAACACCAGGCTCAGGTCCTTTGTCTCTATGATCTTGAAGAATGAGTCAGCAGACACAGAGGGAGGAGTAAAATGACAAAGGTTTATTGAAGAAAAGACTCAGAGGGGTCCTAAGGGAAGGCACCTCCAGGGGTGTGTGGTACAGGGGTTAATAAGATGTCTGTAGGAGAGAGCTATGCGACTCTCAAGATCATTGGACATCCTCTGCACCCTGTCAGTGTCCAGACCCCATCAGAGGCTCCAAGAAGCCCATACAAGCTCTTCATGTGATGTACAGCCACTCTGATTAGATGTCCTATCCAGCATACACCTCCAGGTCCAATCTGTCCACTGTTTATGTGCAAGTCTTTCAGGGACAAAGGGCCATGATATGCTGCCCATGCGTCCGCATATGTGACTGCTCGTGGCCATGGTGACGTGCTATCTAAGGGACTGCATATAGGACTGCTAATGGTGATAGTGTGAACCTCTATGGGAGGGGGCCTTTCCCATGTTTTCCTAGCCAGACTCTTCTTCTGTTCTCCAAAGCACATTGGAGGACTCTTCCTCCCAACACTGGCCATATCCCTGTGTGAAAGGAAGGCTGTAGCCTGGCATTGGGATTGGTGGGAAGCCAGGTTGTTTAAGTCACTTTGCTGCAGGGCATCCTCAGGCACCTAGGGAGTATGGGTGTGGGGCATGTGGGGCTGAGTGGACCTGCAGTCTTCCTGGGCCAAGCCTTCCTTGAGACTTGGGTGTGGGCATGCAGGTTGAGGAGGAAGTCGTCTTTGTGCTGTGGAGCACTTTGTTCCTGTGAAGTCTTTGCTGTGCTGGGGGAGGAGAGGGGAGAGGGCTGGACCCTTGTGCCTGTGGGTCTATGTGTCATGCTTTGGGATTGGCAGGGTCTGTTGCCCACAGTGGGGTGCTAGGCTTTGTTCTTAGTGCTTAACTAGATCCAGACATGGGTGCTGGGAAGGCCCGTGGCGGAAGCCTAATGCTGGCAGCTCTGAGTTGTGTACATTCATGCCCTGGGATTGATGCCAGTCCTGGGCACTGTGGGGCATGTGTGTCTCTGTTCCCACAGCTTGGCTGTGTCCTAGGCTGGCCTGGCAGAGGTGTGTCAGCCCAGGAGCAGGTGTCCAGCTCCTCTCCCCATGGCACTCACACATGCGTAGATGAAAGCCCTGTTTCATTTGGTAGACAGTGGTCCCTTTGTGGGTTACAGGTTGGTTGCTTTGCCTCTGTGTGTGGGAAAGAATTGATGGCTGAAGGGCATAGGGGAGATGGGATTGGTCAGAACAAGCACAGGCAGAAACTCCATCCTAGCATCCAGGAAGCTATGTGGGCAGGAGACACAGCCTGGCTCCCACTTCGGCCTCCATCACTGTTGCTAATTGTGTCCAACAAGCCCAAGACTTATGTGTTTCAGAAAAGGAAACAGAGGTTTGAGGAGTTCTCTGCTATAGCCCAAGCCACCTAGCTCATAAAGGGGCCAGGCTGGGGTTTGAACCCTGAACTCTACCCCAGAGCTGCTTCTGCATTGTGTCCTAACACTGACTGGCTAAGCAAGTGAGTGCTCCTCTTGGGCAGTCTCTTCTCTCCAAGACTCTGAAGCTCTTTCAGGTTTGTTACATATGCAGTGGTACAGCCCAGACAGACATCAGGGATGCTGTTAAAGATGCTATTTGTGGGCTGGGAAGGTGGCTCAGTGGTAGAGCGCTTGCCTTGCATGCATGAGGCCCTGGGTTCGATTCCCCAGCACCACATAAGCAAAAAAAAAAAAAGCCGGAAGTGGCGCTGTGACTCAAGTGGTAAAGCGCTAGCCTTGAGCTGAAGAGCTGAGGGACAGCGCCCAGGCCCAGAGTTCAGGCCCCATGACTGGACCCCCCCCAAAAAAGATGCTATTTGTGTTTTCAAAGCAAGCAGACTATGAGTAGCACATTTTGTAAAATAACAGCCACACACATACACACACATACACTTATGTACATACACATATCACAGGAATCTAGGTAACTGTGGTCATTTTCTTTCTTTCTTTCTTTTTTTGGTTGGTCGTGGGGCTTGAACTCTGGGCTTGGGTGCTGTCCCTCAGCTCTTCAGCTCAAGGCGAGTGCTCTACTGCTTGAGCCACAGCACCACTTCTGGTTTTCTAGTGGTTTATTGGAGATAAGAGTCTCACGGACTTTCCTACCTGGGCTGGCTTCGAACTGCGATCCTCAGATCTCAGCCTCCTGAGTAGCTAGGATTACTACAGGTGTGAGCCACCGGCACCTGGCTTTGTGCTTATTTTCTATTTGGCTACTAGTAGATTATTTCTTCTTCTTTTGGCATTTCCTCCTCCTCCTCCTCCTCTTCTTCTTCCTCCTACTTGTCCTCCTCTTGTGCTAATTGTTGGGCTTGAACAATTTTTTTTGCTCAAGGCTAGTGCTCTACTATTTAATTCACAGCTTCACTTCCAGATGTTTTTGGTGGCTAGAGATAAGAGTCTCATGGACTTTCTGGCTCGAGCTGGCGTTGAATTATGATTCTCAGATCTCAGCCTCCTGAGTAGCTTGGATTACAGTTGTGAGACACTTGGGCGTGGCCTGCATTTTTTCAAAATTTTATTTTACAGCGAAATGTTATTTAAAACGAAAAAGCTAGAGTAACCAATGGGATACGCTAGAGTATCCAGTGTATATCCTTGGGAGAGCCATGTGTGGGTGTCATTTCTGGAAGGGCAGTACCGTGGGTTGAATTCTGTAGTGACTGTGGAGGTACCTGGGCCTGTAAAAGGAAGGAATTGTCCTGAGCAGGGCTCCTTGAGCATGTGTCTAAGAAACACCTGGGCATCTTGTACTAATGCAAGTCCTGATTCAGAGACTGGGGTGGGAACCAAGACTATATTTCTAACCTGCTCCCAGGTGATGGGAAGCTACTGCTCCAAGGCCCTTGAGCATGGCCCCTAGATATTCCCTGCACAAGGAGCCTGGGCACATAGGGTGGACATCATCCAAGTGGTGGCTGGAAAGGTACACAGGCTGCACAGGGATATCAGGACAAGTGGCTGGAGCAGAGGTCCCCCGAGTCAATTGACCTTTCTGGCAAAGGCTCTTCAGAGATTTGCAAGGATGAACATCCTAGTCAGGGGCTGAGTGTGAGACCAGATCCTTTCCATCCCACCTGGCTTTGGCTTTGTGAAAAGAGTTCAAGATTGAGATTAAACTGCCCAGTATTTGAATCCTAGCTCTGAATTTTCTTTGCTGCATGTTCTTGGGCAAATCACTGTACTTCATGGCCGCAAGTTTCCTTACCTATAACACAGGGGGAGAGAATGCCTACTTGAAAAGGACCTGGTGGATGAAAGGGGCACTATCTGTTAGGAATTTAGTTCAAGACCTGGCACACCATAGGGTGCTGGTACATGCTTGTTTCTGCTTAAAATGTGCCTACACTCCTTGCAGGTGGATGAGATTTACCATGATGAATCCCTGGGGGCCCATGTGAACATTGCCCTCGTCCGCTTGATCATGGTGGGATACCGACAGGTAAGTCCTGCTTGTCAGCTGGCTGGGAAGCCACCAGTGCGGGATCAAAAACTGTCTCCAGAATCAGAATCAGTACTCTATGGTGCAGACATTAGAGGTGGGAGCAGGAACTCCAGGCTCCTTCAGTGGAAAAATGGACATCCAATGCCCTGAAAGGGGGTCCCCCTTTTCTTAAAGAATTGAGAGGGAAATAGAGGAGGTAATGACCACGACAAGTCCTGGCTTGGGGGTGCTGGCACTTAGTCTGTCTAAATTGGGGGACAGACACAGAGCTTTCCTCTAAGGCTGCCGTGAATGAGATTAATGTCAAGTCCAAGGGAGTACTCAGCACAGCACCTGCCTTGTGGATTAGTTGTGGTTTCTAATATACTTATAAGGCACAGTGCATGGCTTGACACACAAGTACTCCCTGAAGCAGAAAGGGCTGTGTGCCAGCAGCCCATGCCAGGTGGTAATAGCTGGTGATCTCTGGGGCCTTCACTGAAGTCCTGGGCCTCAGAACTCCCACCTGGATGTGGGAGGAAAGCTTCACAGTGTCTGGAGCTCTTACCACTCTGCTATCATCTCTCTGATGCCACCTGTAGTCCTTGAGCCTGATTGAGCGAGGGAACCCGGCCCGCAGCCTGGAGCAGGTATGTCGCTGGGCACACTCCCAGCAGCGCCAGGACCCCAGCCACACTGAGCACCATGACCACGTTGTCTTCCTCACCCGGCAGAACTTTGGGCCCTCAGGTATGCAAGGTACTGTATTTGCCATAGCCAGGTGTATGCAGCCTGCTGGGCATAGCTAGAACCTCTGGGCTGGGCTGTGGGGAAGGTAGAGGAGAAAGGAGCTGGATGGACATATGGATGGATGAGCATTGGATGGTTTCTTGGGGGCCAGGACAAATGAGAAGGTCCTTACTCATGAACCCACTATCTTGGTCCGGTCCTGGGTTCTGGGCCTTATGTCTCAAAGGGACCTTCAAGGTGCTTTTGCCCACATCATGTCCTTGTGTCCTATGGGCACTTCATGTGTGGTTATGTCAGCTGCAGAAAAAGAAGCCCATGCTTCACTAGTGCGGGGATCCAAGTTCTTTTCAATTGCTGGGTTTTCTCAACACTAAAATGGGGAAGATTGTATGTAACATATGCCTTCCTCCAGTTTGAAGCTGCTCACAGGACTCAGAGGTACATGTAATGCCTGTGACAGAGTATTAGCAACCGTAAGCATCTGGAAACTTGCATAGCTTTCCTTTAAGGGGAAACTGAGACACTGGATGGTGAAGAGGCTTGCTCATGACAACAGCAAAGTGACAGACTTGAGACTAAATAGACTCTCCAGACCTCATGTTGAGGGCTTTGTGGGTTCTTTTTTTTTTGGTTTAGTGCTAGAAATGAGTCAGATAGCCATACCTACCCAATCCTTATCTGAACCATGAAGCCCAAATATGGTATACAGATACATATACACACATACACACATGTGCTCAAATGCAGATGTGAAACTTGCACACATGTGTAGACACATATAGATTTTCAGACACATATGCTTGCATGTACAAGCACACAGACGCAGACATAGGCACACACTTATGCATGCAATGACATGGTATATAACATAAAACCCCAGAGCTCTAGGACAATAAAGGCCTTAAACCCCTTCCTGCAGCAGCCTTTTATTAAATTCTCCTAAACAAAACCTGATGGAAGATCATTTCAGCCACAAGCTGAGACAGAGACAGCTCCCTCGGGTCAACTGCAGAGGCTTTCCCCAGCTCAGCCTGCTCTCCTGGTTTGTAAATGAGTTTTTTGGGGGGAGAGGGTGCTAGAAATTGAACCCAGGACCTATGCTTGCTTAGCACATACTCTTCCATTGAGTCTCATCCCAGCCTGAGTTGCTTTTGAAAGCAGGCTGATAGCGTAGGTCTCACTCACAGCAGTGGTTAGTGTGTGGTGGCCATGGCTGTGGCTCTAGGGCTGTGGCCCTGCTGCCCTGCCCCAGTCCTGTGTGGCCTGTCTGTACCTTGGCTGGATCTCTGTTCCTACCATAAGCCATTCCTCCCTTGAGCCCTCTAGTGGAAACCATTTTCTTCCCTTTCTCCATTCTGCCGGACACTTTCCTCCTTGAACTCTGCCCCTTCAGGCCCACCCCTAATCTAACCATCTAATCTCTGGGTCCACTTACACCTGCCTTAATAGTGGGATGTGCTGGAGGGCAGGAGAGAAAGGCATTATCTGAGTTCTCCATGGAATTTAGAAGAGTTTTATTTTTATTTTTGAGATTGTATCTCTACATTTCCCAGGCTGGTCTCAAAATCCCACTTATTCAGGGGGCTGAGATATGAGGATCATGGTTCAAAGCTAGCCCAGACTAGAAAGTCTATGAATCTCTAATCTCTAATTAACCACTGGAAAGCTGAAAGTAGAGATGTAGCTCAAGTGATAAAAGGCAAGCCTTGAGAGAAAAAGTTAAAGGACAATGCTCAAGCCTCGGTTCAAATCCCAGAACTGGCACAAAAATATTTTTAAACTTAAAAAAATTATGGGATAAGGAATCCTCCTACCTTAGTGTCAAGAGAAGCTGGGGTTACAGGTGTGCACCTCCACTGGCTCCCTGTAGTATATACAACACAGCCGTTTTTTGCCTTTAGATAGAAAGTATTTTAAGCTTATTTGTTGACTGGAGGCAGAGAGAGAACTTGGAAGTAGAGTGTGCAGGCTTGGGTCCTGCCTGGAAATTCCATAACTTGTTCAGAAGAAAAGCCAACACACCATAAAGAACTATAGGGGCTGGGAAGGTGGCTCAGTGGTAGAGTGCTTGCCTTGCATGCATGAGGCCCTGAGTTCGATTCCTCAGCACCACATAAGCAGAAAAGGATGGATGTGGCGCTGTGGCTCAAGTGGTAGAATGCTAGCTTTGATCTGAAGAGCTGAAGGACAGTGCCCAGTCCCAGAATTCATGACCAAAACAAAAGAAAAAGAAAAAAAGAAAAGAACTATAGGCCAAGAGGGGATTTCTCAAGCATACAGAAACTCTCCAGCCATTCCGAGGTCATGATGTCGCTGTGGGGACTGGGCTGGACAGACCTCTGTATACCTCACCTCACTTGCCTGTGATCTCTGTCTGCTCTCTTTTCTCCTTGTCAGGATATGCACCTGTTACTGGCATGTGCCACCCCCTGAGAAGCTGTGCTCTGAACCATGAGGATGGCTTTTCTTCAGCCTTTGTGGTGGCTCATGAGACTGGCCACGTGTAAGTGATACCAGGAGGGTGGGCACCAGGTGGTGGCTCTTTGGCTGTGGGCTGTGCCTTGAACTCTGAAGAGTCTTGTGGATGAAAAGGCTTTGCCTAGGTCAGGCTGTGGTCCCAGAGTCCCAGGAAATGCCTGAGAGCTGGCTGTCCACGGTTTCAGAGCTCAGAGAGGGGGGTCCAGCTTCCAGGAGGAGAAATCTAAGGGGACCATAGCAGTTCTGTGCCTGCCTTGGGCTTTCCCAATGGCAGGTCATGGGGATCAGATGCATCCTGCCTTTGAAAGGGAGGCTCAGTGGCTGTTTTGCCATAGGCCGAGCCTGCTGCCTGGGTCTCTATCCCTGGCTTCTCTCTACTCTGTCATCACCTCAGCTGCTTACCCTGGCACTGCTGCTTATTGGCCTTACAGGCACATTTAGAGCCCAGGCAGTGGGCCAGGTACAGGACTCCGGCTCTGTGGGCTTAGTTGTTGTTTATAGCACATTCCTTGTTCATTCATTCATTCAACCAATAGTTCTTAGGCCCCTGCCATGTGCCAGGCTACAGTGGAGACCAGGGCAGAGAAACTCCTCAGGAAGCTACAGGGTGTCCAAAAACCCAAGAGCTACTGTCCACTATGTCAGATAGTGCTGTACACAGACTGTAGTTCTGTACTGGCCTTGTCTGTCTACAGGAACAGAGCCAAGCAAGGGACTCCTTCAGCTCTGTTGGATTTCACCCATGCTCAGTTCCTTGACCTTGCTTTCTTTCCCTGGATCTCTGTGTCTTCCTGAGACATGGAGCTGACTCCAGGGAAACCTCTGAGGCCCTTCCATGCTGTGAGAACTTATGGTTCCATTTATGCTGGAGCCAGGAGCCTGTCTTCCTACATAGGGCAGAGGCTTCTTCCTGGGGAGAGATAAGGTCAAGCATCCACCTAGTGGCCAAGGCCAGGTGTGGCCACCTGGGAATATTTAAGCAATTAGGATGTCTAGTTTTGTCATTAAATATTAGCTCTAAAGAACAAAGTGTTCAGTCCTCACCCTCACAGGGTAGATGTCTGTATGTGCAGAGCGCTGTGCTATGCCCCATAGGATCTGGGGGAGTTTAAGAGGCTGGCATGCAAAGGGGTGTGATGAGTGAGGTTGAATGGATGAAAGGAGACCCTGTTTTGGCACTCAGAGGCTTTCTCTTTGGTGGCAAGACAGTGAGCATGCACAAGTTGCTCATGGCAGCCCAGGTGGACCTTGCTTCAGAAGCCATCTTATAGACAGTGCAGCAGTGGCTGGTGTCCTGGAGCAGGTCTTGGGCTGGTCTCAGGAGCTGGAGGGTGGGGACTGGTAGCAAGAAGGAAAGAAGAGGGGAGTAAAGACTTGTACAGCAAGAGAGATATCCCCGCTCCCCCCCCCCCCACCCCTCACCACACATACTAGGGCAGTGCAACTTTGAAGAGAGACAGAAGTATTCTACTTTAATGCATGATTGGGAAACTCAGGCCAAGGAATAAAGTCTGAATTCCTAGTTGGAACTGGGCCTCCTGTCTCAGGCTGCCTTCCCAGGGCTGGGCTCCTCAGCATGACTCAGGGTTCCCCTACCTTTCAGGCTGGGCATGGAACATGATGGGCAGGGGAATGGCTGTGCGGATGAGACCAGCCTGGGCAGTGTCATGGCTCCCCTGGTGCAGGCCGCCTTCCACCGCTTCCACTGGTCCCGCTGCAGCAAGCTGGAGCTCAGCCGCTATCTTCCGTAAGTCACCTGCCTCAGGGCTGGGGCTGGGGATCAGGTGGCCTGCCATTCCTTCAAGTCATTAGTCACCTGCTTGGTCTGACTCTTACATGGCTCTAGTAGTCTAAAACCCCAGCCCTCTCCCCCGCCTCAGATCCCTCAAATATGCTGATTAGAATCTGCTTGGTTGGATCTGGGAACCAGGATCTATGGGTACCTCAGGGAATATTACAATGAGGATTAGAGTCACTGGACTGGGGCTGAGTCTCTCTGTCTCCCCAAGGCCCCAGAGAGTGGCATACCAAGGCCTGAGAACAGCACTGAGTGGATGGGGGAGACAATTGGAGGCAGACACGTAATCCTGACCTCCTATGGCAGCCTGCCCAGTGTACATGACACACACTGGGAACACTTTGCCTCAGGGTGTTAAGTTCTCAGATTGTCCACAAATCAATTCCTAATCTTGGCCATATATATACTGTAATATGGGTAAAATTGACCTTCTAAAGTAGCTATAGTTGGAGCTAAGTCCAGTCCTGGATGATCTTGTCCTTGGCTAGAGATCAGGCTCCCCTAGTCACTGACGGGGGTGGGGGGGGGGTCCAAGGCAGCCTATCCTCAGAAGGCCCAGCTGGGGTCCAGGGTGTTGGTGCAGACTCTGCTAGGCCTTTCTTGTTCATTAGAAGCCCCAGTTCCTGAGAAGGGAGGGCTATGGGCTTGCTACCCCCAGTCTGGATTACCTTCCCCCGTTTTCACTACAGCTCCTATGACTGTCTCCTGGATGACCCATTTGAGCACACATGGCCCCTACCTCCGGAACTACCTGGGATCAACTACTCAATGGATGAGCAGTGCCGCTTCGACTTCGGCACTGGGTATCATACCTGCTTGGCAGTGAGTACCTGGCTTCTGCCAGGCCAGGGTATGGCTTTGTATGACCCAGGATAGTTGGCTCGTGGGCATCTTCCATCACAGGCTTAGTGTCAGCCATGGGGGGTGGGGGAGGTGCGGAACAAAGGGATTCAGGGCACAGGGCACAGGCCCCATCCAGCCCCGCCTGGGGACAGAGGCTTGAGCAGGCCTTATTCCTGGGGAAGGTAGAAGGAGCAGATACGGAGAACGGATGATGAATGGGGCCCTGGCTGGGCTGGTTGCCTGGGGAGTTACCTGAGGGATGGGTCAGATGCTGGGCCTTGGGGTCTGGGGAAGGAAAAGTTTCCACCACTGGGGTTTGGTGGGTCATTTTGCTCTAACTCTTCACTCCTCCACCTGCATGTCACTTCTCTTCAGAGGGTTACTTTCTTACTCACAACCTCATGCCTGAGGCCACACATACCAGACAACATCCCTTGAAACCCTGGAGATCAGGCAGAGCTTTATAGGAGAGAAGCAAATGGGTTAACTGTGGGCTGGGGCTCAGAGAAGGGGACACATCAGGGTGGGGCTTTCTGAGGGCAAGCCTCAGTAACCTGAGTGTTTACCACCCGCAGGCAGGGAATACATCCTTCCTCACCTCCCAAGGCCCCTACTTGGCCCAGAGAAGCCTGTGTGAGGTCACCTCCTATACTCTTCTGGCCACAGTGGGACATGTGGTCTGACACAACACCATTTGGGGGATGGAAGAACAGAGTGTGGGATCTTAGGTCCCAGATGCTGTATTTGCAGAGTGTTTATCTGCCTGAGAAAATAGTAAGGAGATTGGGCCTGTCCCAGACTTTCTGGGACATAGGGTCACCAACCTCTGGCCTTGTTCAGTGACCACATTAGAAGGAGACGGGGGGTCACAGTCTCATTTGGGTCTCCTCAAGATCCTGTGTGCAGGAATTGGGGAACATCTTGGGCCTAGACCTCTCAAGAGCTTCAAACTCTGGGCCGAGTAGCTCCTACAGTGAGAAAATGAGAGGCAAGTGTACCATGCCCAGCTCCTTCTCAGTGCCTGATGGGAGAGAGCCCGGGGCCACCTGCACTTGCTGTAGAGTGGAGCTGAAGGTTATGGGGGACAGAGGCTTTCTCTGAGTGCCCTGAGCTCCAGGATCCACTACACCCTTCTCCCCATCACTGTCCTTTGCCCCCAGGCAATTTGTCAAAGCTGGACATCAGCCTAGTGAACTTTTCCCTTTTCCATGCAGTTTAGGACATCTGAGCCCTGCAAGCAGCTGTGGTGCAGTCACCCTGACAACCCCTACTTTTGCAAGACCAAGAAGGGGCCCCCACTGGACGGGACGGAGTGCTCACCAGGCAAGGTACCTGATGGGGGCTGCAGCTGTGCCTTTTGGGGTGGAATGAAGGCCGCTGGACACTAGCATGGATGCAAGTGCCAGGGCCTCCTGGCTGTGTCTTTGCAGATGGGGACAGTGCAAAAGGAGAGGCTGGAGCCCGGTGCTTGGCAGATGTGCCCAGAGGCTTCCCATGCCTTACCCACTCCCCTGCCTTTCTCTTCACATCATGGCCCTTTGCTTCAGCCTTGGCTGCTTTGCATGATCTCAAGGCCAACCATCAGAAACGTTCTCTCATTGTTTGGAGGAAAAGAATGAAGCCTAGATTGGTTATGGTCCCACAGGGAGGGATTAGCATATGGGGGTGAAGGGAAGACTCCAGGTGTCCTGCCCCCTCCCCCTCCCCCAGGCTGTCCTTCCTATACACCTGATCTTTCCTCTTTCCCATCACGTACTTCTCATTTCTCCTATTTCTGAGTATGTCTGCTCCCTTCAGCCTGAGTGGGTGCTAGAATGGCTGGCTGAAGAGAGCCCTGAGCTATGCTTTTGCTCAATTGTTGGCCCTGTGGTGATGTGGGATCGTTCATTGAACTTGAACAGCTCCTCCAACCCTGCCCATCTTGACCAATCACCCCTCAGTGTGGTTCTGCAGAGACTGGACCAAAGCAAGAGTAGGAGTTAGAAGCAGTAGTTGTGAAGAGGGATTTGCTATGAACACAGCCATGGTCATCTTGTCCTCTAACCTGTGACCTCTGACCTATCAGGCTCTTTCTGCTCCCACCTGTCTCTGGGCTTTGTGCCTTTATGGATAGATGGGGCCTCCTGTGGCCCTGCATAGGCCCTGGCAGGCTTTCTTCCAAGATCCTTGTACCTGCCTCAGGTCTTTCCCTCCTTACACCCTCCAGGCGTTTGGAGTCAGAGGTCATTCCCAGTCACAGTTTCACATTCAGTGGGTTTCCATTTTGGCTGCATGTTAATTCATCCAGGAGCTGAAATCATCCTCATAACTGTAACAGGAGGTGATTATAGATGGCCCAGAGGATCTTTTGGGGAGGGGTGGTGGTGGAAATGTTCTAAAATTGGACTAGGGTGAAGGTTGCACAACTCTTTGAATTTATAAAAAAAAAAGTCATTGAAAATTGTACACTCAAAATGAGGGACTTTGTGGTATATAAATTGTCCCCCATTGTGGCTTCTTAAAGGCCCAGGATTGTGACTCTGCTGGTCTCCAGGCTTCCACAGTTCTAAAGTCCCCCCAGGTGCCTCCAAGGTGGAGAACCACTGAGTTCACCTCTTGAGAAAGACCTAGAGCTTTGTTATATTTCTTCTGTGTTACTCTATAGTGAAAGGGAAGGGAGCTGCCTTTAGTAGCGTCTTCTTGGAGTCACCAGCCCCATGCTCAGGCCCTTACAGCTTCCAGTTCTCACAACATTTCCATTTAATGATTGGGCAAACTGAGGCTCAGCGAAGAGAAGTGACCATACACAGCTAAAACTAGGCTGGCTGGGATTCAAACCCAACTTCCTGCTTCTGTGCACACGCTCCCTCCTCTGCATGGACAGATCTCCATATGGTAGACTGTTTTCCCAGGGACACATCTACTTGTGGCCGAAGGAAGGTGATTCAAGAGGCAGAACCAAGATCAGCTCTAGGGACTGGGAGGATTATGGCTTTTCTCTGGTCTCTGCCCTTTATTTTGGAATGCGGAATGAAATAATAGTTCATTTATTATCATCATTAATCTCTTGACTAATACCTGCCATTTCTGGAGGGCTTTGTGTGCCGGGCACTGAATGCCACGGACAGAGGCAGTTATCCAGGTTCACAGATGAGGAGGCGGCCCAGGGAGGCAAATCATTTGTCTGAGGCTGTTCAGCTCCTGGAAGGGGAAGGTTCTGTCTAACTCCAGGATCCTTCTCTCAACCTCTCTTTGTCTCTCGCTGGGCTCCCCCATGAACTGTTCTACCAGCTGTTCCTTGTGCCCCCTTAGCACCCCCATGCAGGCTGTGCTGCAGTGGCACGGGTGACCCTGTGCCCTCTACCCCACCCAGTGGTGCTTCAAAGGTCACTGCATCTGGAAGTCACCGGAGCAGACATATGGCCAGAATGGAGGCTGGAGCTCCTGGACCAAGTTTGGGTCCTGTTCTCGGTCCTGCGGGGGTGGAGTGCGATCTCGAAGCCGGAGCTGTGACAACCCCCCGTGAGTGTGCTTGGCTAGGGTGGGCAGAGCAGATGACCCCAACTCCTTAGGGCTGAAGGCCTTGGAGGGGAAGACAGTAGGGGGAAGGTACAGGAAAGAATGGTCCCTATAGGTAGTTATATGTTCTAGGCATGAGGACCCAACTGTTGGGGTACAGCAGATCACTTCCTCTTGCATTGGCTAGCCACCCATCAGTTCTGACTTCTGAGAATGTGTCTGAATTAATGATTCCAAAATTGCCCTATACACAAGATTCCCAGGGAGTCTGGGTGGGCCCAGAGCCTCTGCTGCTTAAACAAGACCTCCCGTGATGCTGATCCTCTGGCTAAACTTCAAGTAAACACTGATCTAAGTGTGTTGTATATCGCCTCCAAGTTTATGTTTTACCTCCTGTGCAAAGCTTTCTTACATTTTTTGACTTGCCTTCTTCTTTTTGTTTTTAACATCAAAGCCCTAAATTATTTAAAGCATTCTAAGGAGACATCTGTTTGTCACTTTTTACCCCCTCTGAAGGATCTCCATCCCTACTCTATGTTTTTGGAACTTCTGAACTACAGTTCCCCATGGCCTCCATTCTCCAGGCTGAAGCATTTGGTTTAGAATGGCTTTATGAGAGACAGGAACTGGCTAAGTCCACCATGGGGTCAGCTGGCCTAGTGGCTTCTATACAAACAGGACCTAGCCTAGCCTCTCTGAGGACTGAACACTTAGAAAGGCAGACAACAGGACCACAGTGGTTCAAGCACCCTAAAAAATAATAATATCCTTTGTATTCTGTTGTTTGCCTACAGGGGTGGGAAGCCTACTACCCTGTTTCTTTCTTAGACACCTGTTCTGACCTTTTTCAAATGGGAGCTGTTTGTTCTTCTGTTAGACTGTCCTGATCTACACATGGGAGCCTTGTAATTAGTTCTCCTGTACTGTAGATACAGAAGCGGAGGTGATGGGAAGGCACAGTGGCACTGGCCCTGATAAATCATCTGGCAGTTATGGCCAACAGGTGTCACCTTGATCAAAGCTACCATTTATTAAGCTTTTCTGTAATAATAACTGTTTTTACTTTATGAGGTTTAAAGGAAATTATATACATGCCTCCTGCACAGGTGAAGCACTTGATAAGTGACAGCTGCTTAATAAGTGACAGTGTGTAGAACACTCTGAGCTAGGCAGGATGCTAAGTTCAGTCCCTGTAGTTCCAGTATCTCCATGAACAGGGCACTGTAAGGGAGAAAAAGATAAGAAAGGGATTTACAATATATAATATTGTACAATATACAATATTATACAATATACAATATTATACAATATTGTACAATATACAATATTATACAATATTGTACAATATACAATATTATACAATATGTATAATATTCCTCACAGCTCTTATTCCCATAGAATAAGCTATGATGGATTTTTTTTTTTTTAGTAGTACAAGGGTTTGAACGCAAGGCCTGGAACTTGGTAGGGAAGCTCTTTACCACTTGAGCCACACATTTAAAAAAAGTTATCTTCAGATAGGTTCTTGATTTGCCTAGATTGGCCTGGACCACCATCCTCCTATCTATGCTTCCCTCTTAGCTGAATTCATAGGCAAGCACCACCATACCCTTCTTATTGATTGAGATAGTGTCTATCTTTTTGCCTTCGATGGCCTTGAACCACAATTCCTTCTGTCATTCCTCCTGAGTAGCTCCAGTTACAGGTGTCACAGTTTGCTATTACGGTTTCCTATTCCCCACCCTACTTTTTTAATGGACAGTTAAAACACTGCAAAGCTAAATTATTGGGCCAAGTGTACATGTCAGGCCTTAGATATTAACTTTTCTGAATCCAAATCCAAATCTCAATGACGCCTTCCTCTTTAGTTTATTATCACTGTAAATGGAAGTAGATACAAACAGAAGTCATTTATTGAGTGCCTACTATATGTCAGACATAGTGTAACTTTTGGAGTAATACACAAGGATGATCAGGAATTAGAGATGGCTATCTAGTCCCTGTGTCTGTCTGTTTGGCTATTTTACTCTCCCTCTCTTTCAGCATATACAGTGGGACAGGTAGGGTAGACTTGAAGGATGGGACAGTCAGGAAAGAAATCTGGAAGTCTGAGCTCAGCAGCCCCTACACTGCGCTCACTTTTGAGTGGATAAAGTAATGGAGCCCTGTGATGCTGCCCTATGGAATCAGCCGCCCTTGGGAGCATGTGGGGAGGTTCCCCTCCTTCCTCTGCCAATCCCCCCAGCCAATTAGGTCACCCGGCCTCTCTGTGTCACCTCAGCCCAGCCTATGGAGGCCGCCAGTGCTCAGGGCCCACATTCGAGTATCAGATCTGCAACAGTGAGGAGTGTCCAGGGCCCTATGAGGACTTCCGGGCCCAGCAGTGTGCCAAGCGCAACTCCTACTACATCCACCAGAATGCCAAGCACAGCTGGATCCCCTATGAGCCTGAGGATGGTGAGCGACACTCTTTGTCTATCCTCCCTACCATGCTGCTACTGAAGTAGAGGGATCTAGGAGTGCAAAAAGGGGGATTTGCAGTCAACAGGCTTGCCACATACCTTTGTGTAGGCCTGGTGCATTGTGTGCCTCTGGGGCCACTGTCCCTATCAAGGTCATCCCTGGTCTGTAGGTTCAATGAGAGGGTCCTTCACCCAGAAGGACTATAGAAGTATGACAGTGTTGGGTTAGAACTGGGTGCCTTTCTGACATCTGCCCTTAAGAAGAGGGTCCAGGGCTGGGAAGGTGGCTCAGTGGTAGAGCGCTTGCCTTGCATGCATGAGGCCCTGGGTTCGATTCCTCAGCACCACATAAGCAAAAAGAAAAAAGCTGGAAGTGGCACTGTGGCTCAAGTGGTAGAGCACTAACCTTGAGCTGAAGAGCTGAGGGACAGCGCCCAGGCCCAGAGTTCAGACCCCACAACCGGACCCCCCCCCCCAAAAAAAAAAAAAAAAAAAAGAAAAAAAAAAGAAGAGAGTCTAGCTGGGTACCAGTGGCTCAAGTCTGTAATCTTAGCTATTCAGGAGGCTGAGATCTAAGGATCACAGTTCAAAGCCAGCTGGGGCAGGGAAGTTCTCCATGAGACTCTTATCTCCAAAACACCAGAAATTGGAGCTGTGGCTCAAGTAGTAAAGTGCTAGTCTTGAGTGAAAAAAGCTAAGGGACAGCACCCAGGCCCTGAGTTCAAGTCTTAGGACTGGCACAGAGAGATAGAGAGAGAGAGAGAGAGAGAGAGAGAGAGAGAGAGGATTCCAGAGAATCCAGAAACTTGTGCTGCTTATTAAAAGTGAGGTGTGTCGGGGGGGAGTAACTAACCTTCTGGAATTTGTCTCAAAGTCTTACTGCCTGCTCACTTTCCAGCCCCTCCTAGGGGTTTGGGCACTCTTCATTTTACCTAATTGGCATCTGAAGAGCTGAACCTATCATTGGTTCAACAGTTGCTGAAGAAGGTCATTTGAAAAGCAAGCAGGTGAGAGCCTGTGGAGTCTTCTTACTAACCTCTTCAGACTGCCTTAGGGAAAACTCATGCATAGGGTCTGGATTTGGGTAATAGCTGGTGCCAGCTGCCATGTGTTTCTGCCTTGGCCTCTGTTAGGGGTAGACCCACGGGGCATAGCACATGGAGTTTCAGAGCCTCTGGCTGGAAGGCCTTCACCATCCTCTGATCTTGCCTCACCTGCTGGCTTCTGTGTGTGTGTGTGTGTGTGTGTGTGTGTGTGTGAGAGAGAGAGAGAGAGAGAGAGAGAGAGAGAGAGAGAGAGAGAGAGAGAGAGAGAGCCAGTCCTCAGGCTTGAACTCAGGACCTAGGCACTGACCCTGAGCTTGTTACCTCAAGGGTAGTGCTCTACCAGTTGAGCCACAGCTCCACCTGTGGCTTTTGGGGGGGTTGTTAATTAGAGATAAGAAGCTCACGGACTTTTCCTGCCTGGGCTTGCTTCAAATTTCAGTTCTTAGCCTCCTGAGTAGCTAGGACTTCCGGTGTGTGCCACCTGTACCCAGCTTCTCTGTGTCCTTTAAAAGACCCTCTGCTATGCTCCAGTGAGAAAAGTCTCTCAGGACCCTCAGCTCCTGTTCACAATGGCATTCTCCAGTTGGGAGGGACATCAGAGGCCCACCATTGCCAGCTTCCTGGTGGGGGGCACTCCACCAGGGAGCATCTTCCTTCGGCCTGGGTTCTTCCTGCTCTGGAGAGCTCACCACTCTCTTTCATCATCAGCTAGCTTCCACTGCTGCGGGGCACCTCCTACTGCCTTGTACAGGGCCAGGATGTGCTTGTCCTGTGGACAGTTGAAGCCCCCAGGTGGGGAATCAGGTGATGTGGGATGGGATGAATGTGGACTGCAGTCTTGGGTACTGGAGATAAGAAGCCACCTGGTATCAAGTAGCTGGGGAGGCGCACGGGTCCCTAGGAGTGGGCTACGGGAGAGGCTTACTTTAAAAGCCTTCTAGGGACATTCTGAAGTCAAACCAGCAGCCAGGCCTGGGAGGGGAAGGCAGGAAGGCCTTTGGGGTGGCTAGACTTCAGACTTTTCCCAGGACTGTGAGATAAATTCCAGGAAGTTAGCTAAGCCCCCAACCTTGCTTTTTCTAAGAAACACAGCAAATGTTTATATGCTCTCTGGAACCTCCTTTTAAGGACATCAGAAGTTCACAGAGAGAAAGAGAACATTCCATTGTTCGAACCAGAAAGGACCCTTGCATTCTGGCACCCCATTACCAACTCCAAATACAGGGCACTGTTCAGCCTCACACTCACTCCATCTTCTGTTGGGTACAAACCTGCTGAGATGCTAAGCTGCCCAGCCATCCACAGGCAGTGGACAATGCCCACTGAAGGCTAACACCCAGGCTGAAACTTAGGCTGAGCCGCTGTGTAACCATGAGCAGTGCCTTAAATCTCTAATCCTCGGTTTCCCTGCACTGCTAGAACTTACCTTACTGCAAGGCTGAGAAGGTTCAATGAATTAATTCACAAGCATTTCAAATTGTATGTACATAAAGACTTCAGAAGTGTCTGGAACAGTTTGTTGTCATTTTCGCATTTGGTTTTTCTCAGTAACCTGACAGAGCATTTTATTGATCAAAGATAATGGAAATGGGGAGCTGGGTCTCAGGTGACATGGGAAGCCTTAGGTCCCCTCATGGGTCAGGAAGGGCCACAGCAGGGATTTTAAGGCCCCACACTGACCAGATCAGGGGTCACATGCTAGATCATCTTGGGCCAGCTAAGTCCAGCAGGGATCAATAGAGCCTTTCCTCTCCCCACAGATGCTCAGAAGTGTGAGCTGATCTGCCAGTCAGCAGACACAGGAGATGTGGTATTCATGAATCAGGTGGTACACGATGGGACACGTTGCAGCTACCGGGACCCGTACAGCATCTGTGCCCGCGGCGAGTGTGTGGTGAGGGCCCCGCCCAGCCTCCACCCTCTGTCTGTTCCTGGGGCCTGAAGGGCTATGCTGCCCATCTCCTGCTCCCTGAGGAGGCCTGGCTGCTCCCATTACACTAGATTTCCACCACAGCCCTGTGCTGCTGGGCAGGTATCCCTTACTGCTGGCCTTGTTGAGGGGAGAGGAGGTGGCAAGAATTATTACCATGCCGTGTTCAAGACCTGGCCAGGGCTGTGGGGGTGAATTTTCAGGATAGCCCTGTTCTGGGAGCCCTCAGGCCAGAGTTCCTCCCTTGGCCAGGGTCTGAGGACCAGGAAGAGAGTCAGGCCTCTGGCCTGGTGCAGGGTGATGTGTGGTGGAGCCTCCTCTCACTGACCTTCCCTCTGGCCTCAGCCTGTAGGCTGTGACAAGGAGGTGGGGTCCATGAAGGCAGATGACAAGTGTGGAGTCTGTGGTGGGGACAATGCCCATTGCAGGACTGTGAAGGGGACACTGGGCAAGGCTTCCAAGCAAGCAGGTGAGTAGACTGGGGCATCCATAGATGGGTTTCCCTCCTTGAGTGATGCTTCCCAGGGTTCAAGATAGGACCAGGAATCAGGAGCTTGGCCCCAGACCTTCCCAGGCTGTTAGACATGGGTGACCCCATCTTTCCTGCCTGCTGTTCTTAGGGCTCAGGAGCTGTGAGCAGCATGATGCCCTACTGGGTGACATCTTATGACAGGAAGGAACCCAACCCTTTCTTTGGCTCTGGAGCTGTTGCTAGGATCAAGGGATCAGAGCGATCTGAGGGTGTGGCCGAGACTACAATGGTAGTTTTCCTTGCATCTCATTTTTAAAAATTTTAATAATCTGTGGCATCTCCTGCTTTGGACTCCTGATATCTGTGAGTTCCTTAACTTCATACCTCCAGTCTGACCAAATTTGCTGTGGAAAAGAATCAGATATTAGTTTTTTATACTTCAGTATGAATTAAATCTATTTCAAAAAAGTCAAGAAAGTGGGAGATGATAATAGCACATAGGGCAGTGCTTGCGGAAGCCCTGGATTCCCAGGCACTTAGACCAGTAACATATTGTCTGCTCCTTTCCAACTGTCTCTGCTCCCACCCTGGCCGGTAAGATTTTGTTCTTGTTCCCCATTGGGGTGGTGTGGGGTACTGAGCTAGGGCCACCTGCTCAGAACACTCACTGCTTTCCCTGGATCCTTCCCTGTGTCAGCAGCCACTAAACTGGTGCAGATCCCGGCGGGTGCCAGGCACATCCAGATCGACATGCTAGAGAAGGCTCCCCACCGCATCGGTGAGTGCCAGGCCTGCCTGCAGGCATGAGTGTCAGTCAGGGAGAACAGGAGTATGAATCCAGGGCAGGTGGAATTTCACAGGCTTGGATGGGGGAGGGGCAGAGAACTCCTTTTATTTTATTTTAATTTCCATTTTATTTTGTCAGTCATGGGGCTTGCACTCAGCGCTTGGGGACTGTCCCTGAGCTCTTTTGCTCAAAGCTAGTACTGTACCATTTTGAGCCACAGCTCTACTTCTGGTTTTCTGGTTAATTGGAGGGGAGAGTCTCATGAACTTTCCTGTCTGGGCTGGCTTTGAACTATAATCCTCAGATCTCAGCCTCCTGAGTAGCTAGGATTACAGGCATGAGCCACCAGTGCCTGGCTTTATTTTATTTTGAAATGTGTGCTGAATTATTCAGACATCCCATGGTTCACATTTGAAAAGGTCTAGTGAACAGCCCCAGCCCCTGTACACCCTGGCCCCTTGGGCTACTTTCTTTGCAGGAGACAATGACTGCTCAGATTCCTTGTGCATTTAGATGGCTTTTGAAGGAAAACTATTTAAATTTTTTATTGTTATTATAATGGTGATGTACAGAGGGGTTACTATTTCATAAGTCAGGTACAAAGTATATTTCTTTTTGGATAATGTTACTCCTTCACTTGCTCTTTCCCAGTTTTTCCCTGCTGTCCTCCCCCCCAAGTTGCATAGTTCATTTTCAATATAGTATCTAGTGAGTACCACTGCTCCATTTGTTTACCCTCTATCCCTCCATTTCTGTGTCCCCCTTTACTCTCCCAACAAATAAGACAAAAAGAAAAGAAAACAAAAATGTCAACAAAGAAAAAGCCTCTTGAGGAAAACTACTTTTATAGAGTATATTGGCCAGTTCTTGCTGCATATCATACCACTTGAAGCCACTGTATCTTGTTTTATATCCCTAGTCAGGGCTGGGCTCAGCGGCTGGTTCTTCTACTGGCTGCCTGTAGGGACTCAGGCAAAACCTAACAGCTGGTAGGTCTAGGAAAGTGTGGTATTGGTACTGACTGACAGTTGGGGTTATGAGGGTGACAAAGTATGGCCTCAGTAGGCTAAGCTGGGGTTCCTCCCATGGTGCTATGGTCTCAGCAGAGAGGGGCAGGCCCAGGAGATAAGTACTTTTCAAGTCTCTGCTCACATTGTTTTCTAGCATCCCATTGCCTTCAATCACATGACCAAGGCCAGGTTCAAGGGGTAGAGAAACAGTGTGTGTGTGTGCGCGTGCACATGTGTGCACGTGCACATGCCAGTCCTGGGGCTTGAACTCAAGACTAGGTTGTTGTGCCTGAGCTTTTGTGCTTAAGGCTGGCACTCTACCACGTGAGCCATAGCTTCATTTATAGCCTTTTGGTGGTTAATTGGAGATAAGAGTCTTACAGACTTTCCTGACTGAGCTAGCTTCACAGTCCTCAGACCTTAGCCTCCTAAGAGGCTAGAATTATAGGCCTGAGTCACTCTTGCTTGGCCAGAATGTCTCTTGATGAGAGAAGAGTAGTCCAGTACAAGGGGGTGCTGCGCGCAGGAATGGAGGGAGTGGAGTGCTGTATCTCTAGTCCAGCACACCGGCCCTTAACATACCCTAATAATGCTACTTAACAAAGAGTCATAAGCATGCAGACTATGTCTGTGAGCACGTGAAGGAGGCGGGCCTGGGGTAAAGGCCAAGACTAACTCGAAATGAGTTCACCCTGTTTCTCACCGAAACCTGACAGTCAATGAAGGAAACTGTTGCCCTATTTTGCAGTTGAGGACACTGAGGCACAGAAAGGTCCCGAGTGGGTGAGTGGTGGAGTTGGAAGTGCATGGTAACGTCATGCTGGTCTCCCCCCAAGCCCTGGGACAGGGATGCATGCAGGCGTCTTCCACCATGGCTGCTGTGAGCTGCCACAGTGATCAGGGCAGTGGGGGAGCTTTCTTACTCCAGCCTAAGAAGTCTGGGAGATTGGATAGCCCATGGGAGCAACCCTGGGTGAGGAGGGTAGTGAGGGAGGATCTTGGGAAAGGCTGATGTCCTCTGGGCCCCCTTACCCTGCCCCTACACCTCTCTAGAGTTCCAGGCTCTGGCCCAGCTTATTCCTAGCTCACTGTGTGTCCAGGATAAATCCCTACCCCCAGTAGAGCCTCTGATGGTATCCTGACTGCCAGATGTGCATGGGGATACAATTGAAGAACCCCTGCACACTGTCAGTGAGCAGTTAGGATGTTCTTCACACCAGATGACAAGGACTCCTCCTGGACACCCTAGGGCTCCTCTCTGTCTTTCCCCTCCTCTAGCTGGAAGGGCCACAGGCTGTGGCCCTTCTCCAGCCTTGGATGCTTCTGGGGTGGCTGAGGGTGCACCTGGACCTTGGCTGCCTGTTTTCATCTGCACAGGACCTCCTGCCACCACTTCTCAGCACCAACTTGCCAGCTGCTCACCCACTGGGACTTTACAGGATAGAGATCTCTGTATACTTGTCCAGCACAGGGCTCAGCATAGGACTCAGTTTACAAGTTACCAAGAGGGAACAGTGCTACCAGGCTGCTGGGAGAGATGGGGTGTTTATAATCACAGAAAGTGTGCAGAGCTGGGTATGGTTCTGTTTTCACACTGATAGCACTCAGTCCAGCACATCGTGCTCTCCACTGAGACTGTGCACACAGGGCTCCTTGCAGCGCTCAGCAATGCCCCACAGGGTGAGATGCTGCTCGCTGCTCCTGGGTCAGCCTCTTCTGTGTGCTGGCTACAGTGACCAATCCCACTTCAAAGATGGTTGCATGAGGGCTAAGTAGTTTCCCCAAGATCAGCCAGACTCCAGAGCAGGACTCTTAACCTCTCAACGCTGTTCTAGAAGCTGCAGGGGGGCAGGGGTGGTCAGCATCCCTGAGAGCTCTCAGAGCAATCTCAGGTGGCTTCCTGGAAGAGGGGATTATGCTGAGCAGCAGCTGTGAATGGAAATTAGCTGGTCAGGAAGAAGGGAGTAGGTAGTGGTGTTGCACTAGGGTCCAGAGGCAGTTTAAGTTTATGTAGGGGGCTTTGTGTAAACACCCATGTGGTGGAAGGGCTGGAAAAGGGAGGATTGGGCCCAAGGGCCCTCTGGGAAAGTCTTTATTGTCATATTTATGGGCCCCTGTAATCAAGGAGAATAGAAATCTGTGTGACCCTCTTCCCTGGCCAGCGGTGAAGAACCAGGTCACCGGCAGCTTCATCCTGAACCCCAAGGGCAAGGAGGCATCTAGCCGGACCTTCACGGCACTGGGTCTGGAGTGGGAGCATGTGGTAGAGGATGCCAAGGACAGCCTCAAGACCAGCGGACCCCTGCCCGAAGCCATCGCTGTCCTGGTGAGCTCTCCTGCCTCTTGTCTCTGAAGGCCAGTCTGATGGTGTCTGCAGGAGACCAAGGTGCCCTCCTGGGACAGCTCCTCATTTGAGCCTGAGCGCTGGCAAGATGGTGAGGAGAAGGAAGTGGTGTCTGCTTGCTGTCAGGAGGGCCCAGGCTCTCCTTTACTGTAGGCTTGGAAATTGGAGCCTGGAGGAGACAGAGCGGATTTGGAAGTTCATCCAGCATCCAGCATCATTGTGCAGCATGATGTGGCCCATGCCCAAGTCCTAAAGTGTCTGTCTCAGGCCTTTAAGGCAGCTGACCTGCAGCACCACCTGGCAGTGCCAGTCTCTGAGAAGGGGACAGAGCCTTGGTCCTGGCCTGGGCCTATCTTTGCCCAATCCATTTAGCTAGGCCTGGGCCAGGGCTCATAAAGCAGGAGAGCTCTGTCTGCACACCTGTGGCTCTGGTGGGCAACTGGGGGAATCTTGGACAGGCTTTGTTCCAGGTGTAGTCTCTTCTAGTCAGAAAGGTCTCTAGAGGGCAGGCTCTATGGCTGTTGATACTAGCATATTAATTGCATCCACATACTTTCTATTTGTTTTACCATCTGAATACCTAGGGCCAGCTGATTTTCAGCAAGAATATCAAGGCCATGAAAGGGGGAAACATATAGTCTCTTCAACAAATGGTGCTGAGACAACTGAACTTTTTTTACCTGCAAAAAATGAATTTGGACCCCTACCTCACACATACACAAATACCAACACAAAATAGATCCAAGACCCAAATATAAGCCAGAAAGCTACAGCTTAGGAGAAAACAGGGGTAAAATTTGATTACCTTGGATTCTTAAGTATGAAGTCAAAAGCACGAAAGCAAAAGTGGATAAACTAGACCATCAAAACTGAAAACTTTTGTACGTCAGAGGACACTCTGAGAAGTCAAAAGGGCTGTGAGTATAGCTGAGTAGTAGAGCATCCGCTTAACAAGTACAAGTTCCTGAGTTCAAACCCCAGTACTGTCAAGAAAAGAAGGGAAGGAAGGAAGAAGGAAGGGAAGGAGAGAGAGGAAGTAAGGAGGGAAGGAAGGAGAAAAGAAGGGAAGAAGGAAGAGAGGAGGGAGGGAAGGAAGGAAGGAAAGAAGGAAGCAAGGAATTTCTAGAAGGAATCATCCACCAAATGGGAGGACATGTTTGCAAGCCATATATCTGACACCCAGGCTACTTAGCAACCATCGCTTGCAGCCAGCTAAGGCCTAGGCTGCTATGAACAAGAGCCTTAGGCATGGCTCCTACCCTTGCCAGAATATAGGTTTGGCAAGGTGCTGGTGACTCACTCCTGTCATCCTAGCTACTCATGAAACTGAGATCTGAGGATTGAGGTTCAAAGCCAGCCCAGGCAGGAAAGTCCATGTGAGACTCTTATCTCCAATAAACAATTCAGAAAAGGCCAGAAGTGGTAGTGTGGCTCAAATGGAAGAGCACTAGCCTTGAGCACAAAGAAGCTTAGGGACAGCACCCAGGTCCTGAGTTCAAGCCCCAGAACTGGCCAAAAAAAAAAAAAAAAAAGTATGTCTGTGGAGGGAGGAGCATTAACCAGCCTGGGGGTTGCTTTCAGGCTTGGCACATAGCCACTGTTTAGCACAGGGGGCAGGAGTTTGTCACATGGCCATCGATGTGAAAGTCCCATATGTGTAGCCACACCCAGCTCGCTCTCCATTCCACGCCTGACTCTACCTTGCTCCCTGCTTCTCATCTCTGGTCCCATGCCACCTTTTTCTTGTCTCCCCTCAGGTGCTCCCTCCAGCAGAGGGTGGCCCCCGCGGTAGCCTGGCTTACAAGTATGTCATCCACGAGGACCTGCTGCCCCTCATTGGCAGCAACAATGTGCTCCTGGAGGAAACGGACACCTACGAGTGGGCGCTCAAGAGCTGGGCTCCCTGCACCAAGACCTGTGGAGGAGGTTTGGCTCTCCTGCCCTTCCAGTGCCTGGGAGGGGCAGTTCAGGTCCTCTGGGGAGGAGAGAAGCCAGAAGCAGGGCTGATGTCTCCATACGATGTGTACCCTGCCTCAGATTCTCCTCAGAGAACTCCAGTGTGTGGAAGCTGTTCTGGGTAGGGCCTTGGGTTGGGTCCCAGGGCAGGGCCTCTGCCCATAAGAGTTCTCCTGGGGGTAGGGAAGAGGTAGTGTCCAGAACCAGCACTGTACGGGAAGCAGTCAATGGCAGAAGGTGTCCTGCAGCAGGTGGCTTGGGCAGGTGGAGCTGCAGGGAGACTTGTGCCTCCAGGCTTTTCCGAAGGTCCCCTCCCTTTGGATGTAGTCATAACAAGAGGGTCCTGGAGTCGATCCCCAGCACTCTGCCCTTCACAGGAATCCAGTTCACCAAATACGGCTGCCGCCGCCGCCGAGACCACCACATGGTGCAGAGGCACCTGTGTGACCACAAGAAGAGGCCTAAACCCATCCGCCGGCGCTGCAACCAGCACCCGTGCGCCCAGCCCGCGTGAGTGCTCCCAGCCTGTGAGTGCTCCCAGCTTGCGTGAGCCCTCTCTGCCTCCCTGAGTGCTCCCAGCCTGGGTGAATGAGCCCATTTGGTGTGAATTCTCACATCCTGTATGAGTGCTCCAGCCTCTGTGAGTGCTCTCTATCTGTGTGAATGCTGCTAGCCTGTGGTGGGTACTCCCAGCCCTGAATGCTCCAGCTTTGTTAGTGTTCTCAGCCTCAGGACTCACAGCCTCCATGAGTGCTTACCACTTCCCTGAGTGCTTCTTAGCCTGTGTGAATGCTCCCCACCTAGGTGAGCACTGCTGGCCTGTGAGTGCTCTCAGCCCTGATCACATGTCTAGCCTTGGGGCTCTAACAGCCTTCATGAGTGCTCCAAGCTTCTGTGAGCACTCTTACTGTGAGTAAGTACTTTCAACCTTTGAGCGCTCCTACGCTGAGTGAGTACTCCCAGCCCCGTAAGTACTCCCGGCCTGTGAAGACACTGAGGGATGGCCTCCTGCTCCTGCCTTTCTGAGCCCTGTCCCAGGAAGAGCATAGCTGAGCCTGTTTCTTCAGTGCTGCCTCATGAACACAGCCTGAAGCCAGGCTTCCAAATAGAGAGCAGCCCATGTGTGGGCTGTGACAGCCATGGCAGTTGGGGTTTTTGCATCACCTCCTTCTCTAGACGGAGGAAGGCACTGCCTTTGCTGCCCCTCCCAGTGTTTGCTCACAGACATCTGGTGATTTTCCCTAGGTGACACAGTGGGACTCAAAGAAAGGTAAGGCATTTCAGTTCTGCTTGGCCTCAGTCCCTGGCCACGACTCTGTCCATTGCTTCTTCTCTGCCTGTTCATTGGCAGTCTGTAATGCCAAGCTTGCCAGTCTCCAGCATGGGCTAGCCGGGGTTGGCATTCCCTAGCCTCTTTTGATCACAAGGTCATGTTCTTTGGATTGTTGAGGGAATGGGAGTGGCTTCTGGGAAGTGAGAGTTGGGCTTGCGGAGGACTCAAGGTCAAGCCTGTGACCTTGCTGCAGAGTCAGCCCCAGGACCTCCCAGCTTCCCTGGTCTCCGCTCTAGGCAGTTCCCTGTCTGGAACTGTAGAGGAGTCTTCCTGGGCAGGGCACAGGTTTCCCTATGCTCTTGGACTGGAGGAGCCCCAAGACTAGACATGTGATCAAGGGCCATGACCGGAGCTGGAGGCCAGACCTTCATCCCCAGCCCTCTGGTGCTTGAGACAGCTTCCTCCTTCCCTCTGCACTTCTTTTCCATTTAATACTTTGCACTATCATTCACCACCACCTCCCTCATGGTGATTCCCCGATGTATGTGCAGGACTCACTCCACCGGAGAGCCTGGGTATCTACCTGGGCTGTGGCTGTCTACCCTCAACCTTGGGCTTCCTGTCTGTTTTTTTTTTTTTTTAAAGACAAGGACTGACTTTGGGAATGTAGCTCAAAGAGCTCTGGTTTACTAAAAGAAACATCAGGAAATGGGGAGGAACTACCCTCACCCTCTCCCACCAGCACAGTTTGCTGCTAACTCATCCATGGCCAGCATTAGATGCTGGTAGAAGTTGCTTTGCCCCTGAGATGCTTGCTGACCCCAGAAGAGGTGCTAAAGTGGTCCTAACAGCACTCCTGTCCCCATAAGAAGACACCTGAGAAAATGTGGTTTTGGTCCTTGCTAGGCCTTGCTGGGGAAGCACCTGCACACACTTTTACTGGGATATTTATGGGATATGGAAACCACCCTGGTGTAAAAGCGGGGTAACTGAGGCCTAGCAGGGTTCATACATTGTCCAAGGACAAGTGGGGTGCCAGGACTTGAAATGTGCAATGAACTGTACATGAGGAAACAGCAGAGAAAATAGAGACCTCTCTGAGGCCACGCAGGTTAAGGTGGACCAGTTGTCCTGCTCTCAGCCTTCTGAAATCCAAACCTGCTGTTTGTGACAGGAATTGGTAGGCTCTAAAGAGAGGTGTCCCCTGGGTCTCACTTCACTCCACCTTTTGTCTTGTCTGTGTCTAGGTGGGTGATGGAGGAGTGGGGTGCCTGCAGCCGGAGCTGTGGAAAGCTGGGGGTGCAGACCCGGGGAGTGCAGTGTCTTCTGCCCATCTCCAATGGTACTCACAAGGCCATGCCAGCCAAGGCCTGCCCTGGTGACCGGCCAGAAGCCCGGAGGCCCTGCCTCCGCGTGCCCTGCCCAGCACAGTGGCGGACAGGAGCCTGGTCCCAGGTAAGGGTTCCTCAGGAGTGGGAAGTACAGGGGTAAAAGTGGGGTTTGGGATGGGAAGGATCTGAGGGTTTCTCTGGTGTGTCTGAATATTTCCCCACATCTAGGCTGGTTTTTCTGGATACAGAGTAGCTCCCACATATGCTGTGCTGAGGGTCTGTGCCAGGTTTTGGATTCATTTACATCTCTGCCAAGTTCACATGGCACCAGGAGGCAATTAGAGCACAGTCTTACATGCAAGAAATATATTCCAAGTACAGCTATATGCTAAGAGGTTGGAACCTGACATCAACCAGCAGGCAGGTTCTTGCCCTTGTGGACCTCAGGGTCCAGTAAGGGACTCAATAGATAAGTGAACTGATGACAGAAGTAATGCTTCAGATTCAAGCAGGAGCCATAATAGGGAATATGACCAAGGACACAGATAGAGAGTGGTCAGGTAGGGTCTCCTTGAAAAAATGTATATTAGAGAATTAAAATTTTTTTTAGTGGTACTGGGATTGAACTCAGGGCCTTCCACTTGGTAGAGTACTTTTAAAGAACTAAAGTTCCTGAGCTGGGCACCAGTGGCTCATGCTTCTAATCCTAGCTACTCAGGAGGCTTGAGGAAGAAAGCCAGGCTGGGCAGAAAATTGCAAGTATCTCAAAAAACAAAACAAAATAAAAAACCCCAAGCAACAAAAACCCCAAAACACAAGACTTGAGATGTGGGTCAGGTGTTAAGGGTACCAGTTGAGGAAGCAAGCTGAGTGAGCATGATATCTTAGGTTCAAAACCCAGTATTTCCTTTTTATCTCTTAAAAAAAAGGAAGAACCAAAATTCCTCACTTGTGTGTGTGTGTGGGTGGGGGGGGGGGCGGTGTAGCTCAGTGGTAAAGCATTTGACCAGCAGATAAGAGGCCCAGGAGTCAATCCTCAGCATTTAAAAATAGAGGACAGCCGGGCGCTGGTGGCTCACGCCTGTAATCCTAGCTACTCAGGAGGCTGAGATCTGAGGATCGTGGTTCAAAGCCAGCCCGGGCAGGAGAGACCGTGAGACTCCTATCTCCAATAAACCACCAGAAAACCGGAAGTGGCACTGTAGCTCAAGTGGTAGAGCACTTGCCTTGAGCTGAAGAGCTGAGGGACAACGCCCAGGCCCAGAATTCAAGCCCCACGACCGACAAAAAAAAAAAAAAAAATAGAGGACAAAAAAGATCCCTACTCAGTTCATGCAGATTTTATATTCTGCATACAATAGTTTCTTTTGTTTTTACACAAGACATAAAGGTTGTAGGTCCTCCACGGCCCTAATCCAACATTAACAGTAGTCAGTAGCAGTGTAGTCTCTTGTAAGACCAACAGCCTCTCAAGGCTGTGGTTTGGGATTTTTCGTTCTCATGAGCGGATCAGCCATGTTTGTTTCCTTGCCTCCCTCAATGGTCATGCTCCCCACCGCCCGCAGTACAAGTGAAGTTTTGTGAGTTCTTCGTCATCCTGCTAGATGCCACAGAGAGTGACCCAGTCACAATGGGCAGCCTTGCCTTTTTGAGGACCTTACAATGACATGTCAGCACAACTCCCTACTGACCCACTTGTCACAGTAAGAAGAGTGTCAGGTACAGGGGATAGTGTCTGTGGCAGCCCTAGCACATAGCATTGTTTCCCTTTTGCCCTCCAACCAGGGAGGAAGAGCTCATGTGCTGGCCTTTGGTGCTGGGTCTGTTGAATCCCTGGATCAATGACTGTCATACCAGAAGGGTCCACGGAGAACCTGTCCCCTAGCTCTCCTGCTTTACAGAACTGGAAACAGCCAGTGGGCAGAATACCCCTACATCATGCCATGTGGTAGATCAGGACAGGGAGCTTGCCAGAGTGCTACATGAAATATTTAAGAAGCAGGCACAGAGCACATACACAGTGGACTCAGGTGTCAGTGGCTGCAGTAAGGAGCAGAGCCCAGGGCTCCAGAGCCCAGGGTTTACTGTTCAGATTGTGGGAGTGCCTGTGGGTCTCTAGCTCTTCAGTACTGCTTTGTGAGAACCTGCCAGTGGGGAGGGGGTGTCCTGGTGGGGCTATTGAAAGCAGTCTCACTATGGTCAAGGGGGGGGGGATATACATCTCCTTTGTACCCTTCCTGTCCTTGGACTGTGGCTGAACTCTGAGTTCACTGGCCAGTCCTCTGTCTCTGAGGACACCTACCCTCATATGGGTGCTGTGGCCTGGCCCTGATCCTCCCCTGCAGTGCTCTGCCACCTGTGGAGAAGGTATCCAGCAGCGGCAGGTGGTGTGCAGGACTAACGCCAACAGTCTCGGGCAGTGCGATGGGAACAAGCCAGACACCGTGCAAGTCTGCAGCCTGCCTGCCTGCGCAGGTGAGCAGATGGGATGGGTGGCCTGGCCCAGAGCTTCTGCCCTGATCCAGCTGAACCTTGAACCCAGCCTTGCCTTACATCCTGGCTCTTGGAAATTCCAAATACAGGTTGAACATCCCTCCCTAATCTAAAAAATCTGAAACCCATAACTTTTTGAGGATCTGCAAGTGGAGAATTCTGTGCCTGAGCTTACAGGATAAGTCACTGTCATTCCCTCAAATTACCCAAAATAGTGTACAAAATTACCTTCATAATACATGTCAAGAAACATAAATGAATTTCATAATTAGACTTAGGTCCCATCCCCTGAATGCCTCATTATATTTCATGTAAGTATTCCAAAATACCCTTCCCCCCAAATGCTTAGGCTAAACATTCTAGTCACAAGCATTTTAAATAAGGGATGCTCACCTATATACTATAATTGCTTCTCCTTATGCACAGGAACTCTCCAGAATTCCACAGTGAAAGATTCTACCAACAGGATATCAGCAAGTAAGTGCACTCTAGGCCCTTCTCCTCCTCAAACCTTTCAGGGGCTTGTGCCCCAATGTGGACTATGCAGGGAGCAGAGCTGTCATGTATCTGGGTGACCTCAGTTTCCCTGGGCCTTGGAGCCTGTAGCTAGAAAATCGGAGCAATGCTGTCCTGGCCTCTAGAATTACAACGTGCTGGGAGCTAAAAACTTCATTCCTAAATGTGTAGTACACACAGTCTCTGGTGACAAAAATCTAACCTGGATTTTATTTTGGTTGCAGAATGCTACCTTGTTTGGTAAGGTACCATCCCCAGTCTCTGTGGATGTTCTGTAATAGACATGACTCTTCTGATCCCAAAGTTTGGAACCATATCTGGTTCTAAGCATTTTGGATCAGCAATGGTAGAGCTGTGTTTCTTGGGGCTGCCAGGGGTAGGGGTGGAAGGATGAAAGGAAGGAGTTTATATTCTGCTGTCCTATGTGGCCAGTTAACTACACAATGGCAGTCACCCACAGCTCATCCTCACTTTTCTCCACTCATCTGCCCATAGTACCATGTTGCTTGCTTCCTGCTGTGCTGAGCTTTCCCTTTCTAGTTTCTCTCTCCTTCCTGCCAAACGGGGTCTCGTAGGGTGAGTAGCAGAAAAGTCAGACCTCAACTCCTATAGAGGGCCAGGGGGTTGTGTGATCTTGTGCAAATCTCTGTGCCACTCAGCTTCCCTACTCAGAGGCTGGCCAAGTTCCTGGGCTTCCTTCTTTCTGTCCTTTCCCAAAGTCAAGGGATTCTGGTTCTGGGATGTTGGCTCCACCTAGAGGCCACTTGGTATTCCTCCTTTGAGATCTGTTCCCCTAAACCTCACTGCCTTTTACCCTATAGCCATCTCTGGCAAAAATGAGTTGAAAGCTATACTCCAGCCTTCGAGTTCAGTCTACTTGAATTACAAAGCTCTACTTGAATTACACAGAAACATTTTATATGCCATTTAGAGCAAGGAAAAACTAGGACAACAAGCAGCACCTGTGTGCTTTATAACTGCAAGTAACGATCTTAATGTTATCGTTTATTGGTACCTGTCAGCACCATCCCCATTTTACAAGGTGGAGAAATGGGCCTGGAGAATTTAAGCGGCTTTTCCAAGGTCTCACAGCTTTTAAGAGCTAGAGCCTGGACTTGGGCCTTGACTAGTAACTAGTGTTATATACATGGGCAACCTGGATCACAGCCTGACTGTGGCTGCAGGGGTCACAGTCCTGTGGGTGGGTTGGGGGTGGGAGGGGTTCCCACTTCTCCCTAGAGCAGGGTTCTCATGATGCCCCATGGTCACCAGCCCTCCTCCCCTCCCCCTTCCTCCCCCCCTTCCCCCCCTTAAGGTTCTGTGGGGAGGACTGGGCATAAGCCACAGTGATTCCAGAGCACAGCTGAATCAATGAATGAATCCTATAGGACTGAGTTCTCAGGTCCCCCACCCTGGAATCTCCTGGTGGTTTTGTTAAATAACAGTGCAAAACCCACTGCAGAGTTTCAGGTGTACCGGGTCTGGGTGGGGCCTGGAAATTTGCATTGTCTCTAAACTTCTAGGTGGTGCTGATGCTGGGTGGATTTCCCTACCTAGGGACCTACTACTCTAAGGGACATTAGTTCCTCTTCCTTTGGGAAGGATTCTTTCCTGTCAGGTGGCCTGTGTCCACCTCTGGGAAACACCTGTGTAGTAAGGACAGCAGGGGCAGGGGAGGGAGGATGGGCCATGGGTAAAGCGAGTGGGAGGTAGTCCTATGTGCCAGCGTCACCCTCTGCTATTGGTCCTTGTGCTGTGTGCAGTGGAGCCCTGCGTGGGGGACAGGTCCATCTTCTGCCAGATGGAAGTACTGGATCGCTACTGCACTATTCCTGGCTACTACCGACTGTGCTGTGAGTCTTGTACCAAGAAGTCCTCAGGCCTCAACTCTAGCCTGGATCCCAGTCTGGCTTCACTACCTCCTTTCTCCACTCCTGGGAGCCCCTTATTAGAACCAAGTGCTACTTTCAAGGCCACAGAGCCTACCAGAAGGCCAGCAGGATCCACTGACCAGCAGCAAGGCCAGCCCACACAGCTCCCGGAACCACTGGACACAAGTACCTCTGTGACCCAACATCACTTGGCTCCTGGGACATCGAGCTCCAGATCACTCAGGGACCCCTCTTCTGCCACTCCTCAGGGACCACCTTGGGGCTGGACCCAGGCAGCTGTACCAACCTCCAAGGATCAAGGACAGTCCTGGGAGGAGGACCCAAGGCATTGGGGCACCAGCCTTCCTGCTACCTCCCCAGTGACTTGAGCTGCATACGCCCCTCCCACCAGCCACCTTTTCACTAGGTGCCACCCTGTGACAGTGGGACAGGGACAAGGACAGACTTCCTTTTAAATTATTTGCTTTCTTCTTCTTGTTTGGGGTTGTGGTGCTCTGTACCCCATGGTGGGTGGGGGGTGGGGAGAAAAGAAAGATCAGAGAAAGCCCTAACCAGAGATACCTCAGCTAGCAGGCCCAGACCTGACCTCTCAGGGGCTCTTAAGGCCTTTCCTGCCATGACCATGACTGTGACCAGGACCGAGGGCAGTCCAGCGCTCCCTCCCCATAGCCACTGGATCAAGGCAGTTCTGTAGCTCATCCTAGCAGCTGTCAGGGCTGTGTTTCCAGGTCTTATAGGGACCCCAAATGCAAAACAGGGCCAAGGGAGGCAGGGGCTACCCACAGGGCAGGCCCAGAAGTAGGGCTGAGATGAATGTGGAGGTGAGGCTTTCCTGCTACAAGGTAGGGGTGAGGCAGGGCCAGATCATCTTAGTTGTAAGCTCTACAAAGATCCATACACAGCTCTGCTGGCTGGGGCTGGGGCAGGGGCAGAGGCCAGCTCACCTTTGCTGACTGGAAGGCAGGGATGTCCACAGCTCTGCCCCTTTACATGTCACTTCTAGTCACTACAGGTTACCGACCAGCCCCCAAGGGCATACCTAGGCCACCAGAAGAGGGGGCCTCAGACACTCTGGACCCCATATTCTCAACATGCAGGGATTTCCAGACTGGTGCTTGACTCCTGGCTGCTCCAGGAACTGCAACTTAGGTTGTCACTTGGGCTGGATGGGGGCCTCGCCTGGAAGGTGACAGGGACCCAGAGGAGATGTGATTTCTCAGGCTGTGGCCCTCTGCCATCCCCTTCTGCCAAATCCCACTCCTGCTGGAGTTGGGGCTCTCACAGTAGGCTGGAGCTGAGTTCGAGGCATTCGGTCCTGTGCGGGGTGACTGGGCACAGGCCTGATGACCAGAGAGGGCAAGGGCAGCAACTTCTGCCCCAGTGCTGGGCTCACATTAAGCCAGACTCATTTGCCCTCCCTGTCACTGCTGAGGGAAAGTCCTTATCCCTTTGGCTCTCAGGAAGCGACCCGGGTCCCTGGATGCCTCTTGTGGTCACTGGGTGGAAGAGGTGCTGTCAGTTCTTCCTTCACCAGGCTGGAGGATTTGGAGCGATGGACTCCAGGCCTGCAGCCTCCTTAGGCTGAGGGCTCTTGAGCTCTCTACTGTTCAGGTTCCTATGGGAACAAGCCTGGCTTGGGATAAAAGTATATATTGTGAATTTGGAAATCTTGATATTTTAAATGTTATGTATTTATTCATATTGTCCTTGGCATTTTATTGAATCCTCAAAAGTGATTCTCTCTCTCTCTCTCTCTCTTTCTCTGTGTGTGTGTGTGTGTGTGTGTTTCCTTTCTCTGCTTTGGAGGAAGACAACAATGAAGCCAGAGCACTAAGGGGATGCACTGGGCTATAATAGCAAGATGATTGGGGGTAGAAACTGGCAGAGAGGGGACACGGGACCTGTGTGGCCTTGGGAAACCATCACCCACAAGGTAGAGATGCATAGGAAGTAGCTTTGGGATCCACCAAGAGAAAAGCATTCTAGTGATCAGAGCTTCTAAGAAGTGGTTTCTTTGGAAGGTGGTGAGCTCTCCTTCCTTGGAAGGAACTAAGCAGAACCTGACTCCCAGACAGGACTGGATATGTCTTATTGAACATGGAAGGCTGATATGAATCACACCACGCAATTTGTGTACCACACCAGGCATGAACCAGGTGTGGTACCCACACCTGTAATCCCAGTAGTCACCAGGTAGAGGCAGGAAGACTGCAAGTTTGAATCCAGACTGGTCTACATAGCAAGTTCATGGCTACATAACCTTGTCAACATCATGAGACTCTGCCTCAAAAAAAAAACAAACAAACCCCAAACAGAGTTTAGATCCACACCTAATTCCTTGCCCATGTCAGACATCATTAATCCATTACCAGTTTCAGTGTGCACACATGTCTTTCCCTAGCATCTGTGTGCTGGTACAGGAGTACAGAGACTGCCTCTCTTCCCTCCTGCAAGGTCCTCATAGGCCAGTGTGTGGACAGAGAAGCCTTGTCAGGTCAAACTCCATTTCTATTCTCCTCCACTCTTCTTCACACAGCCTCCCTTTGAGAGCTACCCCACTGCAAACAGTTGCCAAATGGGCCTAGGAGTGCACACATGGAAACCCTGCCATACCTCTGGGGACTGACACAAAGAGATGCTAGCGTAGGCCCCAGTAGTAGAATTAGGAGTCAGGCAGGAAATCCTGTAGATCCTGGTTCCCAGAGCCTACAGAGAGGATCCTAGCAGGCACTTTCCCCTTGGCCTAGAGTAAACCTTTCCATGGAGGCAGAAAGGGCAGAGGGAGCTCTTGAAGAGCCCTAGGCCCCCAGCTCTCCCAGCAGGCCTGGCCCATTGTACGAAGTAGGAATAACACATGCTGACATGTCCGCCCTATCTTGTGCTCATGGTGGATATTGCCATGTGTTCAATCTGTGCCCTTTTCCCTGTGAGCCCTGCTTCTCCCCGTGTCTTTCCCATAGAGCTCTGGGCAGTGGCACCACGGGGACAAGGAGGAGCAGCTGTATTGCGCTGATAATGTTTTATAGCACTAGAACCTTTGTTCAGGCCCCATCTTGAGCAGGAAGTAGAGCAACATCCACAAGTAGGAATGACCTTAGTACTTGAATGGAAGGAGGAAGATGTGGAAACCAGCCCAAGGAGCCTCCATGGAGGGGAGGATGAGAGTCAGATATCCCTGGGGAGCCACCAGGCTTCAGTATCCTGAGCCCACCTGTTCATCTCAGAAATGAGGATGAACCTGTTCATGAAAACAAAAATTAACCCACTGGGTGGTGGTGGCTCATGCCTATAACCCTAGCTACTCAGGAGGCTGAGATCTGAGGATTGTGGTTCAAAGCCTGCCAGGGCAGCAAAGTCTGTGAGATGTATAGTACCAATGAATAACCAGAAAGCCAAAAGTAGAACTGTGGCTTAAGTAGTAGAGTGCTAGTGTGAGCATACAAGGTAAGGGACACTACCCGGGCCCTGAGTTCAAGCCCCAGGACCAGCACACACACACACACACACACACACACACACACACACACAAATGTGTGTATCTTCTTTCTACTTTTTTCCATCTTCTCTCCCTAGATCCACTGTTTTCCTTTTTCTCTTTTCAATTTCTTTAGTTCCTCAGTTTTTCCACACATAAAGTTAAAGGAAGCATATTATGCATCTCTCTCTGTACTTAATTTTGTTATATAGTTTGAAGATCTTTCCTTATCAGATTCATACCTGTAATCTCAGATACTCAGGAGGCTGAGATCTGAGGATTACAGTTTGAAGCCAGCCTGGGCAGAAAAGTCCATGAGATTCTTATCTCTGATTAACTATTAAAGAGCCAGAAGTGGAACTATGGTTCAAGTAGTACAGTGTCAGCCTTGAGCAAAAAGCTAGCAGACAGTACCTACATCCTGAGTTCAAGCCCTAGTACTGACACAAAGCAAAACAAAACTCTATCTTAAAGACACTGGATATACATTTCCCAACTTCCTTCCAAAAGGATTGTTTAGCTTTCAAGTCTCTCTAGTCATGCCATGAGATCAACATTGGATAGTATTTACAAAAGGGGATGGGAGGCTGGGGAGGGCTGAGACCATCAGTGTCCAGTATTCAATCTGCCTATTGACCAAGCTAGTATTTTGACTGGGAACAGTTCCTATCTGAATGAAGAAGCCAAGACTCAGAGGAAAGCCTTGCCACAGGTCATATGAGGAATGATAAGCCTGGATCTGAAGGTACCATATCTGCTCTGCCCTTGTCCACCCACCCCCCCCAACCCCAGCTAAAGAATTATAGAACTGGCCACCAGACAGAACTAAGCAGTCAGAAAACACTTTCTGTACAGTGGATGGAATTAGACGCTCTCTACTGATAATTGTCTGCAGCTTATAATGTTATAAAACACACTTAACATAGACCTTTCTCTGCTCCATAACTGGATAAACCTTTCCCCCTTTCTAGAGGCTCACTGGGCAATGGACCAGCTAAGGGAAAGAGAAGCAGTTCAGTTGGTTTTGAGCCCAGAGGCTACTGGTGCCTGGATGAGAATCATCAGCGTGTGGGACAGGGGATAGCTGAGTAAACAGAGGAAATCATAGCGTAAGTAAAGGGACTACAGGTGTGCAATGTAGGCTTGCCCAACTCCAGGCAACCTTGTTGATGAGGGTGGGAACAACAGCCAGAGAGCTGTAGTCCAGTGGAACAAGGATCTGGTGTTTCCACTGCTTTAAGAGAACACTCAGTACTGATTTTCACATATTCAAACAAGTACTCCAAAGGTCAAATGAAACCTATCAACACAGTGGGGTTTGGTCCGTGGCTGAGCACAGTAAAGGAATCTCTTATCTAAGGGAGGCGGTCAACCTCTCTTCCTTGACTTTCAAGTCCAAGGTGAGCAATTCCAGGTGAAATAATAGGCCAGGGTGTGGAGAGTCCTTCCTTCCTGGCTCTGCCTGGACCGGTAGGAAATGCTGCTGCTCACAGCTCTGGAAAGAGAGGAGCTAGGAAGCCAAGGGACCTGGGTTTTACCAATGCATCTGAGGGGAGTCACATGGCCCTCTGTGCCTCAGTTTCATTTTGATCTCTCAGTGAGACTTGGGCAAGTGGTGTGCTGTATTTATTATTAGCTGGGGTCACTTGATCTCTCTCTGCTCCAAATGGGCATGATCATAAAATACCATCTCACTGGCATGAGGATGGAAAGGGTAATGTGCACTGAGTGACTTCATTACTGGAACTCCACATGATTCTATAGTTTGAACTTAGAATCACAGGTTACTAAGACGTGGCCTAAGATCTGGGAGTGCAGCTCAGTGGTAGAGCACTTACCTTGCAAGCATGCGGACCTAGGTTCAGTCCCTAGAACTGAAAATTTTACAAAGGAAGAGAGAGGAAGGGAGGAATGGAGGAAGGAAAGAAAGGAGGAAAGAAGAAGGAAGAAGGGGGAGAATGAGGAGGGAGAGAGGGAAAGAAAAAGAGAACATTGCCACTGAACTGAGCAGTAGACTGAGCCCCCAGAAGAGAGAGAGCTTACCCAGGGACAGACAACTAGCTAGAGGGAGGCCCAACTGCCTGTTGGAGGTTTTCCACTGGCAGGGTTTGGAAGGGAGCCTAACATGCTCACACAGATCACTGGCCCATCATTCAGATGCTATCCGTGGCCAGGGCTGGAAAGCCATCTACATTCCCCCATGGGCAGCAAAACTATCCAATATTGGCAGTGTTAACTTCCACGCTGAGGTAGAGGAGATGACCAGGACTCAGAGCTGCTGCTATTTTCCTTCCCCTTTCTGCTGGAAGAACCTTCCCAATCATTGCCCTTGGTTAATGA